TGATCTTTGATTTGTATTATAAGAGATTGGCATAAGTGTATATTATTCTTTCTGCTTAAAAATGTAATTGTGTCGAAACAGTCTTGTGTCTCTTTTCAATGCCTAATTTCACTTCAAAACATGTCCCCACTTCTCATCCTCATATATGAATGCTTTAAATATTCAGATATTTTTAGTAAGAAAAAGTCCAAAATCAGTTCATATTTCTAACTTATGCCAGGTTTCCTTGTTTTATTACAAATCTAAAATAATGCAAATAAAAAACTCTGTTTGTTGAGGAAACCAAATTGAAGTTTAACAATGGTGTTTACTATGACTGCTGTTTGAATGTAGGTGTCCTTTATGTTATTGTTTTACAGCCATGTTTGCTTACATGAGGCCCTTGCTCCTAGCCAGTATATTTGAAACTGAACTACTGATGTATTTTTGTTCTTTTTGCCAGTAAAACTGTTGCGTGTTCAGATCCCAAGGTTACTGACTTACCTAATATCTCTTTATTGTTTTCCACATTGTTCCACTGGTGTGGGATATCTGAGGTCTGTTTTCCTTCTGGGGGAAAGCCCTGGAGACTGTGTACATTGAGGAGCAGACATTGTCTGTACAATGAATGGAGTAATGAGCTACTGTTGTTTATTCTTCTATAGTATAATTGGTTGAGTTCAGACAATGATGTAGCATCTGTTGTTATACCCTGCAGGGAAATGTCAAAATAGAAAGCAAGCAGACAGGTGGATTAAAGGGAGAGCAGGAGAGGAAACCAGGAAATATCACATTAAGTTCTGATTTAAAATAGGTGCAAAAGAGTAATCATAACAATAATGGTAACACCACCAACCGTCATCTGTTGATCACGGTGTTACATATAACATGAGGATCAGTGCTAGGCACTTATCATTAATTGAGTGCTGACCATGTGTCAACACTTCCTAAGTGTTTTAAAACATTTTACATAAGGACCTTATGAGGAACATGTATTATTAGCCCTATTTTTGTTTGTTTGGTTTTTTTTTTTAGATTTTTATTATTACTGTTGTTTTTTTAATTGAGACAGGTTCTAACCCAGATTGGTACACACCACCACACCAGTCTTTTTCTTTTTTTTGTTAACACGGGGTCTCGCCATGTTGTTCAGACTAGTCCCAAACTCCTGGCCGCAAGCAATCCTCCTGCCTAGGTCTGCCAAAGTGCTGGGATTACAGGCATGAGCCACCTTCCCAGCCTTTATTCCTTATATAAGGAAACTGAAGTTCACAAAGACTGTCATATTGCCTTATTGCCAGGATTTGAACCTATGTCTGTCGTACCCCAAAACCTATGTTCCTAGCCATAACACTGCATTTAATTGAAGTTTTTAAACTGCGCTATTAGAAGTTAAGATAATGATTAACTTTCAGAGGAGGCAGTTCCCTGGAAGGGGCATGCTTCTGAGATACTTATTCAGGGTGCTAGTTATACAAGCATACTAACTTTCTGAATACTATCAAGTTGTACACTTAAGATTTATGCACTCTTTCGTATGTAAGTTATACTTTAATAAAAACTTCAAACCAGTTGCAAAATACGTGACTTTGAACAAAAAGATAAAGCTTTGATTCAAATTTTGTAAAAAGTTTAAAATATATACTTCTAAAAATATGCATGAAAAATTAATTATATTTTCTGATTACTGAGGTGATAAAAAAGTTTTGGAAATAGTAATGGTATAACATTGTGAAAGTGCTTAATGCCACTGAATTGTACACTTAAAAATGGTTAAAATAGTTTAAAATTTAATGGACATAAACACCCAAATAATGGCAATGGCTATCTCTTGATGGAGAAGCCACAAATTACTTTTAATGTTTTTCTTATTTAATCTATTTTTGCAATGAGTTTATATTACTTTTATAATCAGGAAAAATGTTTTTAAATCTCAAAGGTATGGTTTTAAAGAACCACCAATGTTATTGAGAAATAAATGATCCCATTAATAATTTGGAAAATGTATATCACTCTTATCCACAGAAATTTACACCTATAAGCAAGTCATAGTTTGCTCTTAGCAGTGGTCCCCAATCTTTTTGGCACTAGGGACCGGTTTCATGGAAGACAGTTTTTCCACAGGTGGAGGGAGGCAGGGCTCAGGCGTTGATGCAAGTTATGGGGAGCGGCTGTAAATACAGATGAAGCTTCATTCCCTTGCCAGTCACTCACTTACCTCCTGATGTAGGGCACGCCCCCCCTTCCCTAAGTTTCATGGAAGTCAGTTTTTCCATGGACAGGGGAGGGGAGTATGGGGGGTGGCAGGGGCAGTGGAGCTCTGGGACTCTGCCATGGACTGGGGGTTGAGGACTGCAGCCTTAAGGGACATATATGTGGAAAATTAATCTGAACAATTGATGCTAGAAGGAGTCAGATCTCAGAGGAAGGAGAGTCAAGATGTTTAGTTTGTGGTTACTAGAAGTAGAGGCCATGATATTCAGATTCTTTTAGCATTTATTAAACAGCTACTATGTGCCTATAACCATACTAAACACTTTCACATGCATTATTTCATTTAGCATGCATTATCTCATTTCATTAGCATGTTAGTTTATTCCTTCCCTTACCATACATATTGAGCATCTACTTTGTACTATGCACAATACTTGGAATAAGAAATAAGACATGCTCCCACGCGCTTACGGAGCTTGGAGGCTAATGAGAAAGCCAGACGTTAAACAGATAACTGTAGTACAGTATAGTGAATCTTATAATAGACATGTTATTATACAACTAGCATTTAATTTTGATATACACAGGTTCATCCATTCATTGGGTTATTAATAGATGATAGTGTTACTAAAATATTTTAATATTTGGAAATATTCAGCTGAAACTCATTGCTAACTCAGAACACCAATATTATTAATAGATAAACTTCCACTCACACTATCAGAAAAGAAGACGAAAGTAACTAGTTTCACTTCCTATTCTTCTGATTTTTGAACTATATTTCTTATGTCACCATTTCTGGGTATTAGTTTCCCCACATAAAAAATGAGAGTTGGCTGGGTGCAGTGGCTCACACCTCAGTAATCCCAGCACTTTGGGAGGCTGATGCGGGACGATCCGTTGAGCCCAGGAGTTCGAGACCAGCCTGGGCAACATAGTGAGACTCCATCTTCACACACACACACAATTTTTTTAAGTGAGAGTGTAGGACTATTTGGCCAATGCAACTCCTTCCAGGTCTGATATTATATGTAGCTCTTTTTCTTCATTATACAAATAATAAAGGCAACCATCACTGAAGCCTATTATGTGTCTGACACCACACTGTGAACTTTACATATGTTATGTGGGTAAGTCCCATCTCTATAATCCCCTGTAAGGTAGGTGGTTATCCAGTACCTCCAAAAGGAAAATGACCTCAGAGTCATAAAAGAGACTAGCTTTCCCTACACACTACAGAAATTTTGAATGACTTCTTGAAAATACTTTAATGTTAGGACCAACCACATTCCCCTGAATGATACAGAAATTGACTAATTTCTTATCCATACTCATGTCTGAGCAAACTTTGTTTTTCTGTTTGTTATTTTAAACATATTTTTAAACAGATAATACATTTACATAAGTCAAAAGTCAAAAATATAATGAGACATACACAGAAAACACTCTCTGTCACCTTTTTCAGCCTGTTTCCTCTACCCTCTGTATTTATTCATTTCTTTTTGTTTATCTAAGTTTGTTGATTTCCTCCAAAGAACCAGCTTATTTATTGGTTGACTAGTTATATTTTTCTTTTTTTCTAACTCATTCCTTTATGCTTCTAGCTTTGATAATTAATTATTTTGTTCTCAGCATTCTTTCCACTTGTTTTATTGTATTTTTCTCTAGCTTTTTAAGTCCAATTCTTAATTCGCTTATTTTTATTCTTTCATTTTTAGTGATATAAGAATTTTAAGGTTATGAATTTCCTCTGAGCATAAGCACTGCTTTAGATGAATCCCATAGATTCTAAGATGAAGTATTTCTCAAGGTGCTAGGGACAAAAAAGATTTTAGTGGATTTCTGCCATAGATTCCAGCATGGGTAGGGACCTCAGAGACCCTCTAACCTCCTTCCAGTGGAATGTCACAAATATGAAACAATGTAATACTGAAACCTGGATTCAAGCCCAACTCTATCCATAAGATCTCCCAACAGTTTACTCTACCTGTTTGAATCTATATTTTCATCTGTAAAATGAAGGGTTTGGTCCATCTGTAGATATAGAAATCAGTCATTCTGAGACTTGGCCAAATCCCATAGCAAGTTAGTGGCAAAGCTGGAATTAGGACTGTGGTCTCCTGCTTCCAGTAAACCTGATATTTAGATTTCTTTCCATTTCATTTTTTTTAAGTTTTCTTTTATTGTGGCAACAAATATATACAGAAATTTGCCATTTTTAAGTGTATAATTCAGTGCCATTAATTACATTCAGAATATTGTCCAACCATTACCACTATTTCCAAAATTTTTCATCACCCCCCTAACAGAATCTTTCCATTCCATTTTGACATTAACACATTATCCGGTATTCTACAAACTCTTCAGTTGCTTCTACTTGAGAAATTTTTCTCAAATATTATAAATGTTTATGTATGTGTGTATCTTTCGTGAATGCATCTAATAGCTTTAATTCATACCCTAGGAAGGCATCAACTGGGTATTTGATACCTACTTCCTTGGTCACAAGTATCTGAGCCCTTCAGTTTAAAAAAGAAAAAAAGCCCTTCTTTTCTACGTAGTTACCTTTCGATTTAATAATGTGCATCATCAAGGTGGGATTTATTTTAATTAATTGCCTATTGGGCTAATATTAAGAAAATGAAAAATACATGACTCTATTGTTCAGGTGTTAGGCTTGGTTAATAAATGGGGCAGTGACTTTTCAATGAGTTTCTAGAAAGCAACAGTCTTTTCTAATCTTTCCTTCCCCCACTCTACAGTCCCATCCATCTCACATTTTAACACCTAGTTTTTGTTCTTCTTAGGCCATCCGGCTCTCCTTAGAGCAAGCCCTGCCTCCAGAGCCAAAGGAAGAAAATGCTGAGCCCGTGAGCAAACTGCGGATCCGGACCCCCAGTGGCGAGTTCCTGGAGCGCCGTTTCCTGGCCAGCAATAAGCTCCAGATTGTCTTTGATTTTGTAGCTTCCAAAGGATTTCCATGGGATGAGTTCAAGTTACTGAGCACCTTTCCTAGGAGAGACGTAAGTTCCCATGCCTATCTTGGGAAGTGTGTCCAGATGGGAGATAGCCCATCATTAGAGCTGAACAAAGAAGTCCAAGAAAAGTCCCATGGTACAGGGTACTACAAGACACCCAGAAGTCCTTCTTTGTTTTTCATATCATTCTCTCCTCAGCTTTTGGAGAAGGTATGGCTTCCTAGGCCAGCAGACATGTGCCCAGTAGTCTGTGTAAGAAATTAGGTACTAGGTCTTCCTTCCTAGCTGTTTCCCCTATTCTAGCATTCACACAGGCTTTCCTGAGGTCTCATCCCCGTATACCTCAGAGTATACTTGAGAATTGTGTGCTCGACAGCTTAGCAGTTAGAGATCGAGGTCAACCATTACAGGTTTACTAAAAATGAGTCATGTTAAACAAAGAATATTTTGTGATTTGATAGTCTTACTAGCCTGGGAAGCCAGGGAGGGTGACCTGTATTCACTGTGTACTTGTATTTCAGCATGGTATTTGATGGTATTCTGGGGCAAAGCAGAAAGATACAGATCTATAGTTAGGTGGATTCATTGCTGATTAAATGGTTGTGTTCAGAAAATGTTGACTGCCATCTCCATGTAGGGAACCTAGAGGCTCTGTATTTAATCCTTTATTACTCATCATATTTATTGGCAACCTAAATGCAGACTTTAACAGATTTATGGATTATGAAAAATAAGATTCAAGAAAACCTTAAAATACTGAAACTGCAGACAAAAATGAAGCTGCTGAAATCTTACAGAAATATGTAGAAATAGATTCCTTTAGCAAAAGTTATTGTTAAATGAAGCTGAATATATATTAATAATGTGTTGTGGCTGCCAACAAAAAAGTTAACTGCATTTTTAGAGGTATAATCCCAACAAGAAAATAACTTAATGGTCCTGCACTAAGATAAGCCTGAAGAAATAGGAGCATGTCTAGAACAGGGCTAGTAGGAAGGTGAGGGAACTAGAAATCATTTGAGGAACATTACCTCTAGAGAAAGAAAGGCCATAGAAGACATGATTATTATCATCAGCTACATGTAGCTTTCTGGATTCTTGAGTACAGCTTTTTGACTGAATCCAAATTTTACAGAACACATCCTTTTAATAAAGGAATCTGTAGGGCCACAAGTTGCCTTGAGGCCTCAGGTTTCCCACCCCTGTGTGGCCCACCCAGATTCCAGGCCTAAACCCAGAAAGCCCACCCAGGACTCTTTAGGCCTCCTAGAGCCAGGGGTGGTGTGAGAGTTAATGGCCCTTCATCCTTCTCTGAATTCTCTTTCAAGTCAAATGACTAGTGTTTTTGCAAGGCTATTCTGTAACAGCCATCTGTGTCTGCAAGGATTAGGATCTAATTTGTAAAAGTCATCTTAAATTACAGCCAAACCAAAGACTGCTAAAAAGCACATCTTAAGACCTTGCCTCTTTAATAACAAATAATATAAGACTCTGGTAGTCTTATTGTGTCTCCAGCCTTTTCTCCACAAAGCAGAGACTGGTTTCTCACCAGAGGACCTGTTAAATGTTCTTCTGTACCTCCATCTCCCCACAACCAAAACAATACTTTATGTTAAGATTTCTCAGCTGTCCAATGATTTACTAAATGTCCGCTGGGTATACTTCACTGAACTGAGCACTATGGGACAACCAAAATAGCAGCAAACATAGGACTTCCCCAGAAAAGCTATTTGTTAAGTTGTAGGAGCATTGAGTTATTTGGTTTGGTTTTGTTTTCTTTTTCTTTTTTTCTGTTTTTCTAATAACAGTTACCAAGAGAAGGGGTAGTATTTATTTGGTCATTAATTTCTACCTCTTGGACATGTTAAAGCCATATGAACATCAGTGGCCCATATGCCTTACTCGGGTGTTGCCCATGAATGAACTAGTTGAGTCCCAAAAACTGAGTAATGACACTGACCCCACTACTACTCCTATATTCTGACTCCTGCCTCGGAGTCAGAATAAGGAACTGCTGCCCTCTGGGCCTACAGTGGCCCAGACACAAGCCTTTCTCAGAAAAGCTGATTGTCACTTATGCTATTTGGTATGAGGTTGTCAATATCCCCAACCTTCCTTTCCTGTGCCACTTCCTTATCTTCCCTTTCTCTCCTCCTTTCTCTCCCAACCCTCTCCTTTCTAATCCTATTTTTCCCTTTTTATCCGTTCCCCCTTCTTTCCACTCTTCCCTCCTCCATATTTATCTCACAACTCTTCTTCCTGCCTCCTCTGTTTTCCTTTTTTGCCTACTAGTATCCATGTCACTCAGAAGAGCTCTACCTACAAATGGAAAGTGAGGTCTTTCAATTCATAAAATGACTGGAGAGCATTAGAAAAGGAGGATGAGGAACGGCAGGTGAGCACCAGGGACTGATGGCCCATGTGCCTTGTCACTGATGCAATCACACAGCCCCTGTTTTTGCCTCAAGAGCATGTCTTCCTCCAGATCTGTGGATGTGAACCCCTAAAACAAATAGGCATTCAGGAATAAACTGTATTCTGAAATTTTGTATTCTAAAATAATGAATGAATTTATATTTTCCTCCAGAATTCTAGGGTTTTTTCCTCTATAACTGTATAACTGTAACTCATAATCTTTTTTGTTTCTCTCTCTAAGGCTTAAAGGAATAGGAGAATGAGTATAAACATGCCCCAGCAGAGTTTTCCCCAGAGTAGGGCTTCAGTAAAAGTTTGTTTAAATGTACTGGGGAAAAAGGCTTTCGTATTTAGAGTATACAAATTCCTTCTTCTGTCACCCATCCACTTTGATTATGCTAAGCACCAAGCTAAGCACTGGGAACATAGTGTTTAAAAAAAAACAATGACATAGTTCTTACCCTTGTAGAATTTACAGTCTGTATCCAGAAGCTACAGCTGGATGAAATTTGACTTCATTGATAACACAAGGATATCCTATTTGCTACCATAAAAAAATACAAACAGTTTAATTTTCATTTCATTCATTCAATACAAGTTGCTGTATTTGTTCCTTCATATAACAAAACATTTCCTGAGCAGCCACTTTGTGCCAGCCTCCATACCAGATTCTGATGATACAGAAATAAAAGAAACTGTTATCAACCTTGAAGAGTTCACATTCTAGTGAAAACACACATCTAAAGCAAATCACATTGCAAATTGTACCCACTGTTAGAAGGAAAGTAATTGCAGCCTGTAATGATAAGGAAAGGCATTCCAAAGGAAATAAATTTGACCTGAGCCTTGCACAGAGAGATGTTCAGTGAGTGGAAGCAGAATAGCATAGTTAGAAGTTAAAGTGTCAGTGGTAGTTAGATTTGCATCTGAATCCCACTCCATCACATTGGACGTTGGGCAACTTACCTGACCCTGCTGAACTTTCATTTCTTCATCTTTGAAAGAAAATAGTAATGTCTGTCTGAGAGAGTTGTAGTAAGAGATAAATGAATGTAAACTACTGTGTCCCTAGGACATAAAACAGTATCTGCTATAATTATCCTAAGTAGAGAGAGGAAGAAGTAGTAGTAGGAAGGGCTTGCAGCTAAAGAAGCATGGCAGCAGTAAATTCTAGTCTAGAACAGTGATAGATATTTGTGTTACAAATACCCAAATGCTCTAACTCAGACTTAAGAATATATCATTGAAATCTTAATATCTCATATTTGAAAAGAATTTCAGATATATCAAGGCTAATGCTATCATTTTACTGATGGGAGAATCAAAGCATGGTAAAATTAAGCACTTAAATCGTATGATCAATCTTAATAGCAGAGCTGATACTAACACTCAAGTTTCCTTATGACTTGCTTTTTATGATTGTTGAGTCCTTTTAAAAAATCTTTTAATAAATTATAGAGAACCTGTGGCCTCAAGGCCACATGTGGCCCTCCAGATCCCTAAGTGTGGCCCCTCAACTGAATCCAAACTTCACAGAAAAAAATCCCTTTATTAAAAGGATTTGTTCTGTAAAATTTAGATTCAGTCTTTTCAAAAAGGCCACACTCAAGGATCCAGAAGGCCACATGTGGCCCCAAGGCCGCAGGTTCTCCACCCCAAAGCAGCTCCAAGCACCAGTATTTTAACATACTTTGTACTTCAACAACTTTCGTATCTTAATGTCTATGATATTGCAGTGGAATTGATTTTTCAATTTACAGTAGACTGAATCTGAATAAAAAAAAAAAAAAAAACAAAGCCAAAAGGAAAAACTTTAATGCTATTGAACTACCTATATCTTAAAGCTTTGTTCTCAAAATAAACCAAGATGAAGTATCTAATTGGTGAAATACATGTTAAAGTTACTACTACTGAGTTCCCTCCATTCCTTTCAAGTTTTGGGTTTTGTTTTTTGTTTTTTTACTTTGTTTTGAGCTTTTTTTAAATCAATAGATTTAGGGGGTATAAGTAGTTTTTGATACGTGAGTGAATTATAGTGGTGAAGTCACTCGTGTTTAAAATATCCATCACCTGAATAATATTACATTGTACTCAATACATAATTTTGATCCCTCCTCGTACTCCCCCTATTCTGAGTCTTCCAAGTCCATTATACAACTCTGTAACACTATATATACCCATTGTTCAGCTCCCACTTGTAAGTGAATACATGTGTTATTTTTGTTTCTGAGATACTTCGCTTAGGATAATGGCTTCCAGTTCCATCCAAGTTGCTGTGAAATACATTATTTCATTCTTTTTATGGCTGAGTAATATTCCATGGTGTGTGTATCAAATTTTCTTTATCTACTCATCAGTTGATGGGCACTTAAGTTGACTCTGTATCTTTGCAATTATGAATTGTGCTGTGATAAACATACAAGTACATGTGTCTTTTTGATATAATGACTTCTTTTCCTTTGGGTAGATACCCAGCAGTGGGATTGCTGGATTGAATGGTAGGTCTACTTTTAGTTCTTTGAGAAATCTCCATACTGTTTTCCTTAGAGGCTGTACTAATTTACATTCCCACCAACAGTGTGTAAGCATTCCCTTTTCACTGCATCTGTGCCAACATGTATTGTTTTTTT